TTCATTAATTCAATTCTTATCTTAGTAAAATGATAGTCAGATTTAATTGACTGATTGTTTGTTAATTTATAGCACTTAAACTTTTCGTTAGAGAGTTAGTTGAAATCATTATTGTTCGTTATATTTACAATTTTTGTTTACTTTTGATCTAAAAAAATGTAGATCTTTTTCACAAAGGTGATACTTTTGAAATAGTAGTCACTTTGAGACTAACTGAGAAATAAAATTCTACATATACGTTAAATAATTCACATCACAAAATCAATATTTATGAATTTAATTTGAATCATTATATTTTCATATGTACTGATGTGAGATATTAGTATATTACTGTTCACGTATCGTTTCGGAATAGTTTAACAATTATATCTGCATATTTTTGATTTTCAAGAAGATAGCTACTCTATTTTTAAACTGTCGTTATATCACCGTTCTGACATTATTAAGATATTCAAGAATGCATCAATTTCTTGTTTTAATTTTGAATATAGTATATATATATATATATGAAGCTGCTGATGAAATATTGCTAATATCAAATTGTTATTAATTTCAGAAAGGTATGAACCATAATAATAGTAAAATACAGATTTATATCTTATTATTAATATATGACAAGCAAGAAGATTCATTCTGAGTATTTATGTAGACAAATCAAAAGCGATGAGTATGATTGCAAATCAACGAATTTAATAAGTGATAATTAAAATCGAATGTAATAGTATTTTTTTACTCACTTAAACTATAATTCTTAGCCTTCTTATCTCTATAGCCCTAATTATGTAACTTTTATGTTTCTAACTCAACTTTCTATCTTAACATTTTCCATTTTCTCAAACAATTAAATTCGATAATGCGATTGTGAGCATTATGTCTAGTATATTTGAAAGCGAACGATAGAAGAGAAGAACAAGAAGAAAAGAGAGAGAGAGAAAGAAGATGATATATTTGATCAACGTATGGCGTATATATATATATGTGCATGATCATGTGATCACGCCATACTTTGAACGATGACATGTATCGAACGATGATCATGTCATATACAAATATATCGAAGAGGACTGGTAAAAGAATATCACACCATATATGAAAGATAATAGAACAATCGAGGATGACCTCGGTAACAGAGATCCCGTTTATTTGAAGGTTCGGAGACGGATTTACATTGAAATCTCGTTAGTATTAAAATCCCACAGTCCGATCCAGTAGGATCCAACCGTTGAGTCAAAATTGAATCTCCATATTATAATATGATAGTGATTAAATAGTTATTAAATAAATGAGTAACAATTATAATTTTATCATTGAATCCATCAATAGTTCTGTTTTTCGATTTCTTATAAGCTCCTGTCAAGTATTGGATCTTATCAGATATGGTGTAGGATTGATTGACAAAAAAGTAACTAAGGTATCGATCATAATATATGATGGAAAAATGAATTTCTTTTTATTCTTTGCCCCATCTTTATATTCTCGAGTTATAATAGGAGAAGAATTGCAAAGCAATGTTCACTGTTCAGAAAAGGAAGTATTCGTAGTTAGAGAAGTGATCAGTAGTAAAAGTTTTACTTGGTATTAATTATTGATAAATAAATCTACACTGTAATATTATAATGAAAAAAATGATTATTATAAAGAATATAGAAGAACAACTAGCTGACCATGAAGTTAATGATGTCGTAGTCGTCGTATTTGTTATTCTACTCAATGTTATTGGATTGAATGATTACAAGAGAGTGTATAGAAAGATATTGTATAAAATTAACCGAAAAAGTTTGCAATGCAATTTGATATAAAAATGAGATAATTGTATTATGCAGAAAAAAAATTATAACTCTTTGTATTGCATTTGTAAGATATTAGAAAAAAACAAAACTATTTTATGAAAGAAAAAGAACAAAATGCATCTTTCGTATAGATAAATTTTTTATCACAAACTAAATTTCATTTAATAGTTTAAATATCTAAAAATATACATCAGAAATATAAAAAATTGAACATTCTATCTGTATCTATTCGAATATGTACAGCTAAATGTTTTGAAAACATATCAAACGTCGGACATATCCACCTGAATTATTTGCTGCATCATCTGGATCTTCAAATGAAACTCGTTGCATCAAAAGTGCTAAACCAACTTTCATTTCAAAAAGCGCTAAATCTTAATCAATATATGTATGATGACCGCCTTCAAATGCCATATAAGGATACTAAAGTGGATTTTTATCCTCATTTAGAAATTGTTCAGACACAAATTTTGTTGGATCAATCTTCTCATGACGTGGATCTCGATGTAGATTATAAGTAGTAATGATAACTATATCTCCTTTTCTTATAGGTATATCATCACGTGTTGCTTCACGACTTATGACTCCAGCAATAGGAATATATCAAAGAATTTCTTTTGTTACACATTCCGCATAAATCAATGAATCTAATATACATTGTGTTAATTGAGTTTCATCTATTAAATTATATTCTTTGAGTTGATTTTTAATTATTTTGTTGCATATCTGGATATTTAGACATTAAAAATAAACCAAGAAAGTGCAGTTGAAGTTGTTTCAAAACTAGCTAATATTGACATTGAAACTTCATCAAATAATTCTTTGTGAGACAAATAAGCTTTAGTTGATGAAGACTCAGTTTGTAGAGAGGCTACAAGAGAAGTAGTTAATTTTTTTGGTCGATTCAATGAAAAATATTCATCTTGTTGGAATTTTTTTCTTCAAAAGTAATATTCATAACACATCGTTTCATAATGAATGATGGTTGTTGATATTTCCAATTTAGAGTTAAGATTATTTTTCCTAACCAAAATGGAATTTCACTTAATAATACGAGATGATTGGCATAGTGAACAAAATCATTAAATGTTTTTCGTAAATTATAAGACTCAGTTTATGATGATGAGGGCGTGGGTGTGGATGAATACAAGACTGTGTCACACTCACACCCACATTCTCACGGAAGAAAGCGACCAAAAATTGATGAAAGATAATGAGAACGTCACTAAGTGCATTTATTAGAAGTTAACCATCCATAGGTATACATATCTTGAAGAAGTTATCTAAGATAACTAAATCATGCCGAATATGTTAACAATTTTTGCCTAAAATATCTATGATCGAGTGTAATGAGTAAAGCATGATGATTGATCGATAATTATCATTAATTAGACTTGTTATCTGCAGAAGAAAATCTCCAAATCTGAATTTATTGTTTTCGAAAGTGTTTTTATTCTTAAATCCTCATGTCTCTCTTTATGACATATTGACAGGTTGTTTATATAATCACAATGTCTTATAAAGAATTATTTGAAAGATATTACTCAGTAGAATGCACTATAGATGTGCTCTATGACTAAAATAATCATCATTTGAAAATCTTATGCATAATCTCTCGTCATTCAATGATAATTTCTCTTCTAGAAAAGAATAGAATCTATTGGTTCAGAGTAAGTCACATCCTTTCATACGACATAATATAACACGTATTATCTTAGATATCAATTATATACTGATTGATTGTTTGTTATAACACATCTATTCATTTATTCCACTAACTGCAAATATAAAAGTACTTTTTTTTCTTCACATTTAAAAATTCGGTCTGTGTACTAGGAAGATGTCTTAGATTCTTTCATCTTGAGTTGTTATCTCATTGTCATTACATATGTTTGTTTTGTCTAGTAAAAGATCAAACGAAATATAATGTAAAAATCCTCTTATCGAAAGATAATTTTCAAATAAAGTTTGTAAAGGTCATTTGTTTTAGAGGTTAATTAAAGCAGGTTTTAATATTAAATGAGAAAAAGAAAAGTTTCATAGTGATGTTCAAATTTCACAATAAATGACTTAAAAATATGATCATTTATAATGACATTTATAAGAAAAAAAGAAAAAAAGAATTTCTAACGGATATTTCACACACAATGAAGTCATTGTTAGTATAAATGAGAATATTTAACACGTTTCTAATGCACATACTGCATTCATTTATTGAGATTATTTTAGGAAATATCTAGATGAATATTTTACTATTAATAAGAGGTAGAATGTTGGATGAGGACACTTAAATAAAAGTTATCGTTTGAGAAAATCTTTGATGAATTTAGTGAAGAAAACATTCGACAGGATTTTTCTATTGAACCTTTCGAAGTAATGATTAAGTACTTATAAGTATGTTAATATCATTCACTGATGTAACATGATTAGATAATATTAGTACGATTAATTTATATGTTAAGATATCTGTAAGAATTTTTGTAGAAAAGAATAAAATGACAAGTTTTCATTCGATTTATATTTGAATATTAATTTTAGATTATCGCTTTAAGCTGTTAATGATCGATGTAAATAAGAAAAAGCAAATTTTTATGAAGAATGAATAATAAAATAATTGAAAATATAACATTATATGCATCTTCATTAACAATTATAATTGGAATATTGGGTGGAATTTGTAATATAATTACATTGACATCAAAAGAATTTCGTTTTAATTCTTGTGGATTTTATTTTTTATGTTCAACAATATTTGATTTAATGTATTTATTCATAAGTGCTTTAACACGTTTAATTATTGATCATTTGTCGAAGATGAAAATTGATCAAACACTTTTCTTTTGTAAATGTCGAGCTTATTTAGCTATTTTAACACCATCTTTATCAACATTATTTCTAATGCTTACAACAATTGATCGTTATTTATCAACATCTTCTTCGAGAAAACGACGTCATTTAAGTCGAATACATATTGCTTGGCCTATTGCAATTTTAAGCATAATGATCATTTTAATAACTCATTCTCCTATACTTTTCTTCAATCAAATTGAAAAAACAAATCTAACAAATAATAATTATCGTTGTGTACCTACTGCAAGTTTTTATACAATATTAATGAATATCTATCTTTTTCTATTTAATCCATTTGTAGTATATACAACAATGTTTATTTTTAGTTTAATAACATTAATTCGAATGAGAACATTACAATGTCGATTAGGTTCTTTAAATCATCGATTACGAAGACATCGAATCATTGATCGACATTTAATAACTATTATGTTTGTTCATGTTGGTTTGGCAATGACAATAACATTTGTTCGTTGTGCATTTTTAGTTTACACATTTTTGACAAATAATACCAAGAAAAATCTTTCGAGAATAACAATTGAATTATTTCTGGATAAATTCTCTATTACTCTTTATTATATGAATTTTGCTAAATCATTTCCTGTAAATACAATAACAAGTACACTCTTTCGTCGGATATTTCATCAAAGAATCATCCGTTTATTCACTCAAATATGTTCACTTTGTACAAGTATGCAAAGACTATCACTAAATTTTTCTTTGAATTTAACAACAACGAACGGATATTTTTTTATTTTTATTTTAGGAAAACAATTGGTCATCCATCATAGTATCATGAAACACCGTCCAACTAACAACGAACAATATCTTTAACATTTTCTCCATGTTATTTATTGTTCGAATATATCATTCGAAAATAAACTCATTTGTATTCATTTTGTTATATTATTTGTTTACACAGAAATACACATGTCCTCGTACAAACATCTTAGAAATATTTCTCTCCCTGATGGTGTGGGTGAATGAGTAACTGCACTAATAAAACAAAAGAAAAGTAAAAAAAAACTATTTTACTAGACAAACTGTGTGTGATCTGTATCGTATTTTCAATATAGTTAATAAGTGAATCCAAATATAATCTGACATTCTTGCAATGAAATAAAAATGAATATAGTCTGATTATAGAAATTGCTTTTATTTGTTAATTTTTGAGAGTATCATATGTGATGAGGACACCATAGAATTTTAATTGTTTTAGACCTTGGTATTTAAACCAGGCTTTTCAACACTAATATTGTTATTTATTATTATTATTTCTGTTTGTTTATTTTTACTTAATCGATAAATATATTCAATTTGTGGCTTTAGTTGTTGAGTATATAAATGAATTGTGTAAGCTTGTTTATTTTCATTACATGATGATTGCATAATTACTGTTAAATTATCCAATCGATAAACCTAAAGTATACTTTCTGAAGAACATGAAATTATTAATTTCGTGTACTTTAAATTCACTGTTGTCAAGTTACGTAGACTTGAAATCATTACATCAATTTGACATGTACTTTGTCCGGAGATAGCTTCACTTAAATCATCATTCAGTGGTATTGTATGACAAGGGTGTGGATGAGGGTAAGTGTGGCTGAACGAAGAGAATAAGGACATTCTCACCTATATTTCCCACCCACACCGTCACAGATTTATTTGAAGCTCATCTGTATTCGTATCCATCTCGACTGCGTGCAGTAAAGAAGAATAACGGTCATCACACTGATTAGCGATTGTTTTCATTAAACAATGAAAAAAATAAAGAACTTTATATCACATTTAGTTCGAAGTTTCTTTCATCAATAGCTTTTCTAACACTTATGATCACTGGAATTTTTGTATGTTTCAACAATTTATACGTAGGAAAGTTTCTATGACCCTAACTGTTTAGTACCAATAAATTCCACTTCTTACGAGCTTTCATTTGATATAAAATTCATCATTAACTCTATTTGGAAAGATGGCAGTATCCCCGTATCAAAATATTTGTTTTTGACCTTGTATATTGCGACAGAATCACTCAGTCATGATTTAGGATGTGCGTTAAAGATGATTATAATATCCTCACCCAATTGTTTTTCTAACTTTCATATAGATAAAGAGTAAGAAACCAAACACTATCATTATGACCTAAGTCATTAGAAATCGTATCAATTTCGTTCAAAGAACAAATTTTTTTTCAAAACAGATGAAGTAGGCTTATTTTATTTCTTCTCAATATAATAATATATATTTTATTTAATTAAAAGGAAACTCAATAGTTTACAACAACTTTTGATTACAATTAGCATGATTTTTTTTCGTATTAACATGTTATTTTATTACGTCTATCGACATTTATGCTGTATTTATCCATGAAACAGTATCGTTTTCATTATAAAATTGTGATCGCAAAAACGGATAAGCAGGATGATCACTATAAATCCCTGTAAGCCATAACTTATGAAACGTCTCATGTGCGTCGTAACCATTGTTATCATCTAAATAGACTTGAGCTAATGTATAATAGATATTTTGTAAAAGATTATGTGTATTATTATTTTTGTCTAAAGCTGATAATAAAGAATCTATTGCTGTTTGACAATAATCAATTGCAGAGAGATAATTCAAAATTTTATAATGTAATAAAGCAAGATTATAGTATGCATTTGCTATTATTTCATTTGTTGTTGATTTTAAATCAATAACTGCAATAATCAATGCATTTTCGTAATAGTTCAATGCTAATTCATAATTATTTGTTCCATGTTCATGTAAAATACCTAATTTATTATATGCTGAATAGAGATTTTTTGGAGATAATATTGATGAGTTTTCTAAGGTAGATTTCGCTTGTTGATAATATTTTTCTGCTAAGTCAAAACAATTATTATGATAATGAGCATCACCAACACCAAGATAAATTTCTACTAATAGAATATTATTATCAGATTCTAAAGCATGTTCAATAGCTTTTTCCCAATTTAATAGTTCATTTTTTGAATCATTCATATACCGATGAAGATTAGCATTAGTTTTGTAAATAAACGCAAGTTCTAAATGATCTGATTGATTCATCATTATTTGAACTCTTTCTTCATTTAGACGAAGCGCATTTTGATAATTTTTTTCGAGTGTATATAAATGCACTATACTTAAGTAACATTCATTTAAGTAATCATCGTCAGACGTCGATTTAATTGCTTTTTCATAAAAACTTATTGATTCTGATCTTTTTTCTTGTTTCTCATATATACGAGCAATAAGTATGTATAACGCAGTTGTGTCTGAACCAAGTTCAACACATTGAAGTAAATTCTCTAAAGCAATGTGATAATCTTCCTGTTGAAAAAAGTGTATACCACGAGCATAATAATGTTCAGTTGAATCCGTGTTAATATTCTCTAATATTTTTGATACAAGCTCCTCTCTAATATCATCATTGGAACTGGGATTACTTTTTGCCCAAGCCTGAATTCCTTCTGAACAGAAAAGTGTTGATCGAAAATCGGGATGTGTCGATGGTAACATATTTAAGCAAAGATCATATGCTTTATTTATAGCTGATAAGGCTGAATCTCTATCCTTTTTGGCAAAATATATGTTTGCTAGATTATGATATGTAGTAGCGATCATTGGATGAGAATTAGGTACGTGTGCATTTGTTAAAATAGCTAACGTACGATTGAAATATTCAAGAGCTAAATCATATTTAAATGTAGTAGCATATAAGTCACCCATATTATGATATATACGTGCAAGTTCATCATCAGGAACATCATCTTTCATATAGGAGCAAGCTGCTTTCTCATACCATTTCAGATCCATTTTGAAATTTCTATCGGCTAATGCATAAGCATGTATATTTAAATAAGTCAAACCAATGTTACCATGCGTACGTGATAATAATATATATGGTAACATATTTTCAGTTAAGTTAGAATCTGCTATTAGTGGATGATTATGTAATAATTTTGCTGATCTAAAATAGAATTCTAAAGCTTGATTATAATAACTGAGAGCTTTGTCAAAATTTTCCATATAATGATTAACTAGTCCTAAATTATTATATGTCAAACCAGTATATTCAAGTTCTTTTTGTTTCGAAAAACGTGACAGAAGTTCATGTTGTGTAGGAGAACCACTTAAATATACACGTTCACATGGATTATCATACAATGAATCACTTGTCTCATTTCCACTATTTAAAAGGTATCTTATACTTTGAGAAAGTTCGTGTTCTTCTACGGTTCGACCAGAATTTACTCTGACCGGGGGAGCATTAGAATAAAGTAATTGAAGTTGAAAATATTTTTCTGCACTTTCATATTGACCTGCCTTCAATAAAGCAAATCCAAATGCTGTTAATGTAGTGTTTTTTTTGGAATGTATATTGTGGTATTGATTTACATCATCTGTATCCGGTAATTTTCCATCAGTTAAAAATAGTTTAACAATCCACCTGTTACCTTCAGAATAAATCGATTGAAGTTGAAAAACTGTTCCTGTTACAAATAATATTTCATCTTCGTCTGGAAATACACTAAAATCACGAATATTAGCAAATGGTTGTGATAATCTATATTGATTATCTATATGAATTTCATAAATAATTGATTCTTTATCCGGTTTTTGTTCACCATCACCAGAATATATGTAGGCTAGTTCTTTTGTTAATGAAGTAGAAAGAAAATTATTCATAACAACAAGTGAACCAATATTTGTACAAAGTTTATTAAATTCATCTGAATTTATACACTGACCACGGTAGACAATATCAACATCTTTCAATAAAGTTTCTTGCTGTTCCAAATGTAATTCTTGAATATTTTTATATAAATCACTGAAAAAAAATCGATATCGATATATGAGATCAATATTTTCTGTACGAAATGCTTGATTTAAGATACGATAAAGAAAGCAATCGCTTGTATACCATTTAATAGCATCATTTGATTGATATGTTGTTTCAAATTTGTTTATTTCATGTTCATATATTGAATCATTATTATATTGTAAACGAAGTTCATTGAGAATATCTTGTCGAGGATTATATTTCTTTTGAGGTATTTTCAATAGAATCTCAATTAAATATTTCCACCACATAAACATAACATTGTCTGTTTTTCTCGATAAATTTCGAAATGTTTTTTCATCCGCATAAATTATAGTTGATGTAATCGATTGTTCTAAAAACTTTTTTGCATCTCTTGATAATTGGTGTACAAGTTGATCAATTGAAGAAAAGATTTTTGTCTGTAAATCAATAAATTTAGGTTGATCAGTATTACAAAAAACATAAATCGATATTAATTGTGGTAAATTATTTATCAATGGGATAATAATTTCACCAATTGATGGAGATACAATCAAAATTATTCTTTGTGCTGTTGGTGCAAAACATGTTATATAATTAATACATTGATCAGGATCGTTATACATTTTAATATAATTAATACAGGTTCTTAATTTATGTATGATTTCATCATTATGCGTTCCACTATGGATATGAGAATCAAGCCAAATAAGAATAAGATCTTCTAACCAAATTTGATCGGATACATCCATTTTTGTTTCGAATTTTTTATCGATACGTTAAGCAAAATCGTTTATACGTAGCTTCAAATATTCGTGTATTTATAGGAAGTAATCGTTGGTTTTTTCTCCCATTAGCTTACTCATTTCTTCTTATCAATAATATTAGAGAATAGCAAACACATAAATAACAAGTCATGCGTGAACAACGTAGTATGAATATTCGAAAGTAAAAGAAGTACTAGTTCACTTTCGACATGTGAGAGAACAAGAAAGAAAATATATTATCGAAACAAGTAACCAGTGCAAAAGCTTGATAGACAAATTAAGAGAAAAAATATAGATAGCTTATGTAGATAACAGTGGTGTCTAATAAATCAAAAAACAGTTGATAGCTCTCATATAGATCAGTCGTTTCAGAATTCAATTTTTATGATAGAATTGTTTTTCTAATAGTCAGAACTAGAGAAAACTTTTTGAATACAGATATTTTTATTTTAAAATCATCCTAAAATAACTATGAATCATCGAGACGTCAAATTTTTTGTTGCTGTGTGTTTTTACCTGTTGTTTATTTTATCAAACCCGTTAACAACAAGTTTTCATAAACATACCATTCAGTTCATCGCGTTTACGCGCAAAAATAATAAGATGCACTCTAAACAAGATAAGAAGATTAAACCAGCATAGTTTGATCCATTAAATAAGAATATCAAATCAACTTTTCCCCTTTTTAGAGTGTCACACTGAAATAACGACATTATCTTTTTGAAAAAAATATCCCATTCAAATTTTAATATTCAACATTTTTTGTATTAAAAATGGTTTATTTATGTTATCGCTGCTAACTTTTTCAGATATCCATTGGTAATATGATAGCATGATAGAAAATACAATATAACAGTGGCAGAAAAACCTTCCATTTATTTCATTACACATTCATACACCGGGGAATGAAGAGTCCACGTTTCATTGGGTATGGGTGTGAATAAGATCAAGAGCTGAATCAAATAATTACATACATACACCCACACCCTCCGCTGATCAAAGAGGGGAGGGATAAAAGATTGGCAATACATAAAGTGAATCGACTGTGATTTCTTTCAACCATACGAATATATATAGATAAGAACTAAAATATAAAATTCTATTTACTATAGTAGCTAAATACTATGAATTAATTTATTATTAAAAATCAATGACCAAATTACTAAGATATTAATAATATGAAGATTGAAATAGATTTCATCTCATAAAATTAATTTTTTCTGTCTAATGATATTCTACGTTAAATCTCTTATAAATACTTTCCAGTAATTTATAGATTTATTTATATACAATTTTATGTTTATATTATTTATTGGAAGTAAATATGCATCATAATGTATTGAAATTCACTTACAAAAAAAGAATCATTACATAATAAGAATAATTAGTAGCAAAAGAACAAAACAAGTGCTGAGAATTGAGTCAATAGAGTGGAATGTACATATAAACAGACATGCATAAGTATTGATTATTTTATCTGATACTCAAAATTTAGCCTGTTTTCATATATATATATACAATTACAAACACACACATATATAATGGCAAGCGCTAAAATAATAGAGATTCATTCAACGCAAAAAACAATTGCACAACAAATGAATATAAGAATAATGTAAAAGTAGGAAGAAAGAAAAAAGATGATAATGTGCACTAATTATTTGAGATAAACTCGAGAAAGAATACTGATAAAATTAATAATTAAACTTCAGTTGGTTCTTGATACGTAAAATTAGATGATGGAGAAGATGGTTTAGCAGTATGTTGATAAGATGGTGGATGTTCCTCATGACGTGTTGGTGTTGGTTGATGAACAGCAATTTTCTGAGGAGGTGGTGGTGTAATAAGTCGACGTCCATATTGTTGCTGATCAACTTGATTATGTGTTGATGTTAATGGCGGAGGCGCACCCTATTAAAAAAATATAAATAAAATATTTTATCAATAGAAAATATATTAAATAAGCCAAAATAAACGTAAGCGAGATGAAAATATTTTATCAAATATGAGCAAGAGCAAATGCATAAAATATCAGCCAATAAAAAAAAACATAACACTTAACACCGATTATAACAATCGATATAAAAATAACTTACCACACGAAATGTAAACTTTTTCGGAAGAAACTGAAAGATAAAATATTTTATGAATATAACAGAAGTTACATGCAAAGATTAAATATGTATGTATATATATGTAATATCTTAATTTTCAATCCCAGTAAATTAATCAGAAACTATAGAAAAGTAAAATCGAAAGAAGTGCTAAATCTATTTCAAATAGTGATAGAATTATTAACATTTTTATCTAATACATACAGCTGTATCTTCCGTAGTATTATTTAATTGTTCAGATTCTTCATCGGTTAATTCATCTTTTGTTTTTGGTATTCGTTTTTGTTGAGCTCGTAATTGTGCAGGATTATGATAAAGATGATGTTGATAATCTCTTTTTGTTTCAAATGATTTTGGTGATGGTGTTCGTTGATCACGCTTTGGAATCATTGGAGCTGGTAATGGTGGAGGTTCATGTGAACGTTTTTTAACAGGTAATGATAATGCTGGTTGTTGATTTGATTTTAATGATTGAATAGATTCTGAAAGTGATTTACGTGAACCAAATGGTGTTGTTGTTCGTGAACGATTTGGTGGTATAGGCGTTGCATTAACACTAATATCAATTTCATCATCATCATGATCAGGTGAATAAGAACGCATTGGTTGTGCTTGAGAATTTGGAAAAGTATATGCTTGTTGATATGAAAGTGATATAGGAACAGGAGCATGACGATAGGATGAATGTGTACTTGTCATTGGTGATGGACGATTAGGTATAGGTGGTGGTTGACTTGTACTACTTTCAGCTGATTCAACTAAATGTGATGTTGAAGATGATTCACCTTTTATAACTTCATGTTTATATTTTTTTGTATGATCACCTGCTAAATTATTTCGAGGACCCCAAGCAGTTCCTCCTTGTTTACTAAATTAGATAGAAAAAAA